GTCAGATTGCCACTGCCTACTTCCACTTTAACTGAAGATGCTTTGAGTTTAATATCTAGACACTTTAGCTGGATGCCCTCCAGACTCTAAGGAAACTACTTTATAAACTGTTCCAAATATTAACATTAACCCTTATTTTCCTTCTGTTTGAAAGCGTGTCTGGGATGCCAGCTCCTGGAATGGGACACAGCTATTCAACTAAACTGATCTATTCGTAGGACTAAGAGACTGACCGAAAAGATATAGGACAATATATTTAAATTTGCTCTAATTTTTTTTTCCCCCTCGCTCCTTAGTCTAACACTAATTTCCCCAAAGATAGCAGCTTGGCTTTTAATATGTGAAACTTTTTCATTTCAGAGTGGGGACTGAAAGAAAGTAAAAATATGTTACCCCAAAATATATTTCTTTGACATATTTTGGGATGGCTGCCACAGAAGTAATGCCGCAAAGCTGTGTTGTGTGTGCTTGTGCGTGTGTGTGTGTGTGTTGGGGGGTGGGTTGGCATTTACATCTGTAGAGAATCTCAGGCAGGTCTTTCTGTACCGGAACTAGAAGAGATTAACCCTCTTCCCCATAAACTTAAGGTTGCCAGGAAGATACCAGGGCACCTGGTAGCAGAGCTTGCTGGGAGTACTGGTCCCTAGTTTTGGAATATATACCAACACAAACATGCTTTAAAATCTGTCTGCAATTCTAGGACTGATCTTAGAAGAAACTGCAAAGAGCCATAGGGCTCAACAAAGATCCTTCAGCTCTTTAGCCCTGGTAGTCCTGGATAATCAGGCAGAGCCAGACTTCCCGTTGGCTAAACAAGGGGGAGCCTGTGTGCTGTGACTACCTGCTGTCTCTGTATTTCTCAGGAAAAATACAATGGAAACCCAAATAGAAAAAGTTTCCCTCAACAAGCTGTGTGACTACAACAGAGCTCTACTAGTGACGCCACACCTGACTGTGTTTCACGCTTATTCACTTGGATTCCCCAGGACTTCAGATCAGTTCTTCAGGGACTCCTGATGCTAGGACTGTCACTCCTACCCTAGGGCTCATTATCTGTCTTACGGCCCACTGTTCACTTAAGTACTGTGCTAAGTCTGTAAATGAGGGCACTGATGCTTGTCATGCAGACCTTAGGTCTGCAACCAGGCTCCTGTGAATACTTGAAGACAACTGCAAAACGGTTCCGTTCCTCTTACCCTGAGCTCAGTCCCACCTATACCCTTTGTCAGCAGGAAGGATTCAGATCAGTCATCTGCCCTTTTCCATCTCATTAGCCCAGACCACATGAATGAGGTAGGATGAAGCTTAGGGGGAATGGAAACTGACCTTTATAAAATTAATAAAAGGGTATAAGGTAGGAACTGTGGTAAGGGCCTGAACTCTGCGAAGGTATAGGCATAGGTCAAATACATATATTATATTTATATTATATATATTTTATTATATATTTTTTTTAAAATATTTTATTTCTATCTCAAAAACCAGCCATTGTTTTCTAGCTTGCTTTCCTATAATTGCTTACCACTCAAGAGTCATATAGGTGATGATCTTAAAGATTCTTAGCTTTCTTTATTGCTCCCATAGATAACATCACCCTTGTGAAACCTAAGGCTAGTATTTGGGATACCTAAATTCCAGACCCTGCCTTCTGGTGGACCAACTGACTCAACCAGACCAGTGGCCCATACCAAGGCACCAACTCAGCTGGTCTTGTGACCTGGGAACTGACTCAGCACAAGGAGATAATTTCTGCTTGCAAACCCTATGAGTTCATCCCCAGCCAGTCAGAAGACCCAATTCCCTAGCCTTTTGTCTACCAAACTAACTTTAAAAATCCTGGCACCCAAATTCTCAGACAGACGAATTTGAGAAATTTCTCCCATCGCTTAACAGGATGCCTGTGATATTAAACTCTTTCTCCACCATAACCCCTGCCGTCTCAGTCCTCAGGGGCAATAGGCAGTGAAAGTGGTTGGGTGGTAACACCATCACTCAGAAGTACTCATTGTAAATACTATCTTTTTTGTGTTTATTTGTTTCCTGTGTATGTACTATTAAATTGTATGTATTTTGTATATTTCGTTTTATATCCTCTTTCATTCACTCAAAATTGTGCCTTTAGCATTTTTTTACATAAATAATTTATAATTTCCAAACTTGTGATAAATAAAATAGCTTTATGATTTTTATTTTGGGAATAAAATATTTATTTTGGGAAAAAATATTTATTGTCCAAATGTTCACATATTGGAACAAGTTACTTTCTTAAAAAGATGATTCATACTGCTGACAAATTTGCATGTTAGAATGTTTTCTTTAAAGATTTCTTCATTTGTATTTGGTGAATAGCTAAGCACAGGAAATCAAAAAGCCTCTTTAAAGGGATCTTCCTCAAAGTTGGCAGTTGAATGATAAAAGCAACACTATTTTCATTTGTAAAAGTCTTTGACATTTAACAAACATGGCTAATATTGTGAGATATATTTTTCTGGACCATTCATTGCCTGTGTATAAATAAAACAAAAATATCATGAATTTGACAGCATATTGCAAATATTTTTCTAATAACAGTATATGTAGACTTACATCATTCCTTTTTAACAGCTTGAAAATTTTCCATTGTTCGGATAGGTAAAAATTTATTTAATCCACCATTATTGGATATTTATGTTTTTACAATTTCTTACTTTTATAAATAACGATCTGATGAACATCCTTTTGTGTACATTTTAAGCACTTACCTGGTTATTTTCTTGGTATACATTTCTATGTTTTTATATACTTATTTATTTTGGGGGGACTAGGTCTTGCTATGTTGCCCAGGCTGATCTTGAACTCCTGACCTCAGTCCTCCTGCCTCGGGCTTCCGAAGTGCTGGGATTATAGCTGTGGATGGTATAAATTTCTAGAATTAGTTCCTTGACAGTTTTTTTTTTGACCATCAATTCTTTTTTTATTTTTTTATTTTTATTTTTATTTATTTATTTCTTTTACAGCATGGTTGTCCTATGCATTGACCATCAATTCTTATAACCGCTTCTTTGGTTGTTCATAGAAAGTTTTTGACTTTGGCTAAGGTCTGATGTGGGCTTTTTCCCCCTTTCAGTGTGGACAGTGACTTCATACATAGCAGATGTACGGTGATTGCTAACATCAAATGATGAAATTCCCCTTAGGTGGATTTTCAAGTGGCTCAAAGCAACTGAAGAAGATTTCCATGTAAGTAGATGTCTACAGAGGGGCAGAGAGCATTGCAGAGACCCAGCTATGAGGAAGGCATTTAGGGCAGTAGCTCATGTGCCTTTTCACGCTTCTCCTCTCCATCCCAGCACAGTTGACACCGAGCACAGTGTTTTATCTGCATGTAAAAGGCAATGCCTTTGTGGGACTGTTTACGTCGTTTTTCCAGGACTTATGCAATTAAATAAAACTGAAATTCAAAAAGGAAAATGAACTTTTTTTAGCCCCATGATAAGCTGGAGTTTTCAAGGAAAAAGAAAAATGTCTTAAAATAGAAACATTTGGTTGGCTCTGTCATTTTAAGAGTCATTTTCCTATTTACCAAAATTAAAAATCGTGAGCATGAATATGGATTATCTCATACTCACCTGGTTGGTGCAGGGTGAGAGCGGAGGGAAAAGGCATGAAAATCCCACCCTGCTACTTTGTTGGTTTTTTTGGAGGTTGAGTGTTGGTGATTTGGATGACATTAGCCTTTATCGTCTGTACCCTGTGTCCTCCTCCCTTGCCCCTGTGCTTAATGGCTCCACACACTGTTGCTTTGTTCCTTTGGGGCCAGAGACTGAGTCTCCCCTATATTTGTCTCAGTTCCCTGGTCACAGTCTTACTAAGTGTCTAATAAGTATTTGTTGGATGAACGGAAACAGTAGATTGTGTGAAAGGCCAGTAGACAACTGCCTGAATAAATACCTTTTTAGGGAAAGTTTCACTTTATTGCCTATTATTAAGGCTCTGGGCTATGCATATTCACTATCAGTTCATTTATTCACTCCTTCATTCATTCTTTTGTTCAACAAATACCTATTCAGTGCCAGGCACCATGCTACTTGCTGAGAATAGAGTGGTAAACCAGGGGGACATAGGCCTTGCCCTTAGAGAACATGTGAGCACACAGGGCGTGTCATAAAAGGAGCACCGAAATGCTCCAGACTCTCAACTCCTTTTTATGGAAGGAAAAACATAGGTTTAACTTCAGTTTCAGAACTTAGCTGGAGATGTATTTGGCACAGTCCAGAAAGGGCCAAGTCCCTCCTCTGGTCCATTCAGTTTTGGGCCTGAGGTCTCCATCCTGTTCTGTGGTATGATATCTTTGGACTCTTGTGAACGTCTGCAGCATGCAAAATGTTAGAGAGTAAAAGCACTTTAAAACCTTGCTACAAGATACACGAGCCCATGGGGGAAAGCCAAGCCCAATTACTGCTGGAATCAAAGAGACTGAGAGGCAGGCTGGCTCGGATGGGGACTGCTCACTTTGTAAGCAACCGTTCTCCATTCACCCCGCCACCTTGCAATAATAACGGAAAGGAAGGGGAGGGGTGAGCAATAAGACCACAAAAGCTGTGGGTTGAGGAGTCTCTCCACTTGGAGTACAAACACAAAGTCACTGTATTTTCCCCTAATAATAGCCACAACCATGCCAGGTCAAATCTACCTCCTGACCCCTCCCTCCGCCCCAATTAACTGGCTCTAATGAGTCTCTGAACTCATTAACTTGGCCAGATTTCTTTAACTTTCATCCACTTGGATGACTGGGACAGTCTCATTCTGGCATTTAGCTCAGTTTTATTTGTTTTAAAGCACAATGACAACTCTTGTGTCTGCCATCTCTGCCTGTTCATGTTCGACCTGAACTTCTAGGAGCGCGTGGTAGAAGGCCAGAAGGGGATTCTCTAATGTGAGAGCCCACTGTACCCCTTCTAGGAGCTTCTTCTTCAGTTTGGGCAGGGAGGGGGTGAATATTTGTAGTCCTTTCTCTGTCAGGCATGGCGGCTTCTCAGGTGAACGCTGACTGGCTGCCATTGTCTTCTAAGGATAGACTGTCCTGGATTCTCTGCCTGGCTGGCAGCCTTCTTTTAGGAGGAGTCCTGATAAACACTCCATCCACAGGGAGCTCCATGCTGTCCCTGCAACACCAAAGGGATCTTCACTGCCCACCCTCTGTTAGCCTTACCATGTTTCCATTTCTCTTTCCCCTTTCTCCATAGCGTAGGGACAGCACATCACGTGATCGGAGAATGCCGTGCCTGGTTCGCCTATTGCAGACTCTCTCTGCCTTTCCAGGTGATTTGGTGGGAGCTTCTTCCCATGTTGCCAGGGGAATAAAAAAGCTCATCTCCTCTCGGCTTCCCTGCAAAACCATGGCACTCCTAAGGCTGCTCATTTCTCCCCATCCTTTTCCAGTACGGATCAGCTGAATGGTGGGAAGACTGGTTCTCTGGGTTAGCACCTCAGAAAACCTGTAGAGAGGTGGCTGGTTCCAAAATCAGGGGGATTTCTGAACTTAAAAAAATGGGGTGCTTAGCCTATGCTGGCTTCAGTGTGGGGCCTTGACTGTAATTTTCAGAGTAGAGGGGAAAAAACCCTCACATTTGGTTATACTTATCCCCTTGGATAAGTTTTTGTGCTCTCACAAAACTTAGTCATGGTGCACAGTTTCTTAAAGGGTCCCAGCAGGCCCCTGACGTAGGGAAATACTCAACTGAATCACTTCAGTTTGAGCAGGAAATCAAGGCTTCCCTTTAGAAGCAAAACGTCTAAGCACTCGACCCCCTTTTTAAGAGACTTACCATGAATGTTTCAGACTGTCTTCTCACCATTTAGAATCAGTCTTCCACTGCCTGCCAACTCTTCCTCATTTCCTTTTCTTCTTGCTCAGGAAGCTCAGGGCCAGACCAGCCCATCTCCTAGCTAAGCAGACTCCAGCTGGGAAATGATGCCTCTGACCCAGTACCCCCATTATTGAGTCTTTTGGGTCCTCTTTCTTTAGGGAAGGGAAAAATCCATATCCTCTACAGGTTTTTCTTACTCTCAGTTTTCTTTTCATGTTGGCCAGGGTGAGGGCTAGTTGTAGTGCTGGGGCTGGACTTCTGATGAGACCCCTCCACCAGCCCTGCGGAGGGCTGGCCACGCGACCCATGGCTCTCTCAACCTATGTGGGGTACTTAACAGCTTTGTCCCCAGCTTTGGACTTAAACCATAATCCCAGTACAAAATCCCACCAAACATCTTGTTACAAAAGGAAAGAACTGATAAAGAAGCTAGAACATCACTCCTAGTGTATCAAATGTCAAGATTTATGACTTGCAAGGGGTCCAAAAAATTCTCTTTGGATTTTTAAAATAGAGATGCCATATGGAAAATTAAATTCAAATTTAATGAATGTTCATTGAGCACTAATTATGTGCAAGCACTGTGCTAGATGTTTTTATGCACAGTATTTTAATCTAACCCTGGATCTTAAGATCAGCTCCATTTTTCAATAAAATGATATTTTTAGTAATATAGTTGTTATTTATTTGTGTCTGCCATATGCCAGGCACTGTTTTAAGCACTTTTTACACAGTGTTATCATTTAACATTCACAAGTACAAAATGAGGAAGATAATATCATCCTTATTTTGTAAAGAAACAGGCTGCATGTAATTATTTGCCTAACGGTAGTTAGATTATCAGTGATGCCCAAAGCTAGCATTTAATGAACACTCACTATGTATCAGCCCCTCTTTTAAGTACTTTATGGATGTTAATATTATCATAGCAGCCCTGTAAGATAGTCTTCTTTTATTGACGGAGAAACTGAAACGCAAAGAGCTTAAGGACCTTGCTTAGGGTTACATAGTGAGTAGATGGTCCGTCTGGCTCCAGGACTCATGAACTTCCTTGCTATGTGGAACCTTTGCAGTAAGACCAACATTCACGTTCAGGGCTTCAAGTCAAAGCCTGGCACCTCCTTAGATTGCAGCGTCTTTACACAAAGAAATGAATCTCGAATGGTAAAATTTCAGTCTGTGAAGGTGAATTAACACTTTATTCTGTTTCACTAGTATTAAAATGTTAAAATCGGGGGCTGTTTATGTCATCCATTCCTCAGGGATCCTACAGATAAAGCAGTGGCTCAGATCAGGGGGTAGGAAGTTGTCTGTTTCTTTTCTGTCTCTGCCTAACATCTCTAATTCATCCCAGCTGCTTAGCTCTAGGACCCGTTTGCTCTCCGAACTATCTAGCTATCATGTCCCACTTTATCTGTGGGGTGGATGCCAAGGGAAGGTACCAACCACACCGTGGTCAGGGGAACTAAAACCTGTACAACTGTGAGAAACAGGAATGAACAGTGAACCCTGTGGAGACTCTTGCTTTGTCACCCAAAAAGGGAAATTATTCTTTCATTTCTCTCCATTGCTGAAACCCCCCGGGGACTTTTCTTTTGGGTTCAGTCACTGTCTCTGAGATGGAATCTTTGTGATAATATTTTGAGTTGCTCGGAAATCATCTAGAATCCAGTGTGTACTTTTTATTAAACAAATGCATTCTTATTGTAAAAGTTGAAGCTTTATGCAAGTGTATCAAGCAAACATAAAAACCTTCTCAGTCGCATTTCCTAGAGATAAACAACGACATTGTTTTCATGTGTATCCTTCTAGACGTTTTCCAATTGAGAGGATAATTTATTATCCAAACAGGGATATTTGAGGTAAAATACTGTAATTTTGCCAGGAAAACAGTCATAAACTAGGACTATTTCAAACAAACTGAGATATAGGATCCCCCTACTGTGTATGAATTTTTATATCTATATCTATAGAAACATCTGGATACATTCCATATATATTAATATTATATATGGTGACGCGCAACCTCTGAGATGGCTCCCAGCGGTCTCCACCTCTCGGAATTCATGCCCTGTGTCATCCTCGCCCTTGGAGTGTAGGCCGCATTCAGTGACTCACTTCATGAATAAGACAACTTCCTGCGGAAGTGACGGCGTGCCACTTCCGAGATTAGGTTCTAAAGAAGACCACGGCTTCCATCTTGGATGCCCTCTTTCCCTCTCTTGTGGTATCCCTTGCTCTGAGAGAAGCCAGCTGCCGTGCTGGGAGGGCACGCAGGCGGCCTGTGGAGAGGCCCACATGCTAAGAAATCGAGGTTCTGGTTCACAGCCCGTGAGGAACTGAGGCCACCAACGACTGCATCAGTGAGCTGGGAAGGGTATCCTCCAGCTTCTGAGGACTGTAGCCCCGTCAGACAGCCTGGCTTGTGGCCTCGTGAGAGACCCTGAGATAGGGCCATGCAGCCAGGATATACTCCTGACCCTCACAAACTGTGTCGAAGAATAAGTCTTTGCTCTTTTAAGCTGCTAAGTTTTGGGGTAATTTGTTATACAGTAATAGATAGCTAATATATATATATTTATTAAATAAAAATCAAACCATAATAAATAATAATAATAAATTATATGATAAATTATTATAATTTATAATATTTTAATATTATAAATATTAATAATAAATTATTTCTAATAATTAGAAATAATTATAATAATAATAAGTTATTTCTAACAACATCCTTTTCTCTCTCCCCCACCCCACAACTTCTGTCAGCAGATACCTCAAGTGATACTATCTCATTAAAAAAAAAAAAGATGGAAAGAATATAAAATTCCATTTTAGGGATAACCATAGTAATTTTCCTTTATTAAAATAAAAAAATGCCCTAAAAAATCCTTGGAAATGTGTTTTGCTTCTGTAGTTAACTCCATAGGGTAGCTGCTTAAAGGGAAAATTTCAGAGTTATGGAGCAACACAGTTTTGGATAGGTATTTATGAATTGTCCTTCAATTACAGTCATCTGTTTTGTGACTGAGTGTTCGTATGAGAAAGTCTGGTTGTCTTTCCAATACTGAATATTTTCAACTTTAAATAATTTTTCCAATATATAGGTGAAAAATTGTAATTTTACTGATTAGTGAGACTGAACTTCCTTTTACCTGTGCATTACCATACCTGTATTTTTTGCCTTCTGTGACGGGCACATTCATGTCTCTTACTTACTTTCTTCTTGAGTTGTTCATCTTTTCTCTTTTGATACCAGAAGTGTCCTTTATTTGTTAAGGGAATGAATGTAGCCAATATTTTTGTCATATCTGTTGCAAATCCTTTTTCCCAGTTTGTCTTTTTACTTTGCTCATGTTTATGTTTAAATTTTTTTTTCCCTGTAAAGCCTTTGACAATGATCAAGCAGTTAACTTCATCAGTTTTTTTCTGTTATGGCTTTTGAGCCTTTGTATCATGAATCTTGCAGCCCAACATGTTTTCATCTGGTATTTTTATGGTTTAACTTTCTGCATTTCAATTTGAGATCTGTGATTTGTTTTAGTATAGTGAGGTAGAGATCTGGGTTTTTTCACCGTATGTTCCAGCGTCATTACTAAAATGAAAACAAAAACTCACCTCCCTGCACTGACTTGAAATGTTGTTTATCTATATTATATAATCCTATATGTGTGGGTTTATTTCAGAATTCCTACATTTCTTCATCAGATTTGTCTCACTAGTCCTATTCTAAAGCTATACTGTATGTAGCTTTATAAGTAAATTTTAATATCTGCTAGGGCCAGCCATCGTTTCTTTGTCAGAATATCCTTTGCTATTGTCATATTTTTATTTTTTTTATTTCAATAGATTTAGAGGGTATAAGTGTTTTTTGGATGAATTTTATCATGCTGAAGTCAGGGCTTTTGGTGTATCCATGGCCAGAATAGTGTACATGGTAGATTATAGGTAGATTTTTATCCATAACCTCCTCCCATCTTCCCCTTTCTTGGTTTTCAATGTCCATTACACTGCTTTATGACCATATATAACCCATGTTTAGCTCCCACTTATAAGTGAAAACATGTAGTATTTGCTTTTCCTTTTCTGAGATACTTCACTTAGGATAATGGTCTCCACTTCCATCCAAGTTGCTGCAAAATATATTATTTCATTCCTTTTTATGGCTGAGTAGTACTCTATGGTGTGTGTGTGTGTGTGTGTGTGTGTGTGTGTGTGTGTGTGTGGTCTCTCTGGAAAGTATCCAGCCATGTAATATGAAAAATAGAGACATTTACTGAAGAAGATACAAAATACAAGAAACATTGTACACAGGGCAATGATGCCTCCGTCCCCTTCCAAGCGGGCACCTTGGGACCTCACACAGTTCTCCCAGCATCTCTTAACCTAACCTGCATGTGTTCAACATTCTCAGGTGTTCTGCTTGTTGCATGCCTTCCAGAGCATGGATCACTTTCAACAGATTATTGACCGAGTGTTTGTGCCACGCTTTTATTTGAGGTGCACTCATTGCATCATCCTTGAAAGCTTCTGAGTCATCTGAACAGTTTCTGTGGAGGAATGTTCAAGCTTAATGCAAAATCTGATGCAGATTTGTTGCTCTGTTTGCTCAGTCATTTTGAGTGCAACGACCACACACAGTGCACATGCTCACTCAGCAGCACCTAGAGCCCCACTGACAAGTATAGTGAAGGAGAGAAGAGTATTTCCAAAAAAGCTACGACTACATCTAAGTATATAAAACGAAACAAAAACTCACCTCTGCACTGGACAGACAAGGAAATATATGTTTCTATATTTGTATGATGTTGGCGAAGAGAAATAGGAGAGAAAAAGCTACCATGAGTATTTATGTGCTGGAAATACTTATATCAGTATTTCACATTACATTTTCTATAACTCAGAAGGGGAAATAAAATTGAAAATAAGTAATGAGCGTTTCAAACTAAATCCTAAGAAATATTCAGAAATCTAAAGACATATAGAGAAAATAAAGGAAGAAAAGGGCTGCCTTGAACTATTGCTTTCCAAGAGAAGATGCTGAGCATAATGTTAGTGCACGAGATGTTGAGCAGCTTAAACTCTATAGAAAATTCTAATAATCACTCTCGAGCCTAGTCATTTTCACGGCTCTATTCAGATCTTCACAACTTAGTATGAGAAACTTGGGAAACATAATCCTACTTAATCTCTGCCTAGACATTTTCAGTTTTCCTCTCCATGTCTGATACAGCAGATAAATTAAAGGGTATAATTAGTAATTCTACTCTGGATGAACACTTTAATCCACAATGCTGAAGTCAGGCTTTTGGTGTATCCATGGCCAGCAATAAAAAAACAAGATAGTACATTCACGTAAAGGTTATAAGTAAACGAAATATTTTCATATCCAATTATAAAGCAAAGATACAAACTTGTCAAAACCATGAACAGATAACAAATATCTTCTCGTATACCATCCTTCCCGCGTTTCTCTCTAAATGTTCCTAAAGTCGAGTCTATTGAGAAGATATCCCTATAATTCTTAAAGATGACAAGATTAAATGATAACCATTCTGAAAAAGCTATAACACAATTAAAATAAACATAATAGGAAAGCACATTAAGTAATAAAAGAAACAATCCCAATCACGAGATTATAAAAGGAGAAGGTGGAAAACAGAATATGAAATTTAGATTATTAAAGAGTGATTATTTTTTAAAAGTAATTGCTTGAATATCCTTTTAATCGAGAAAGTTATATTCCATTAATATAAGTGATATAATTCGTGAACCTACCACTAGCAATTTAGTATGTATATCCAAATAAACTATAGCATTGCTGCAATAAGAGAAAATTTAGGTCCATGACGCCCCTTTATAGCTGATATCTGATACAGTCCTGCAGATGGTCTAGGTAAATGTCGCATGCTTTGCTAATTGCAATGTGTTCAATCCACGAGCTTCGGCGCAGTCGTTTTCTCTATCCACTATTATACCCAGTAATTGCCCTTTAACTTGCCAAATGTTATTTGCAATCCTGATATCCAAAATAAAGAATCAACTGCTACATATTCTGATCAATATGCCTGAAATATGACCTTTCATACAAAAAAAACTAAATTTTTCAGCCACCAATATATGATTTCAATATAACATTGAATTCAGTCGTGCCCCTTCACTAGACTCCACCACCATGCACTTTAGAGGAACCGAAGGCTTAAACTTTCACCATGTTATATCCACACAGTCAACACAGCCATCTCTAACCTAACCTGCATGTTCAATCATTCTCTAGTTGTTATATCTACATTGTGATTTGCAGACCTCCGCAGATATATGGATCACATATTATCACCAGTCAAAGATTTTAACCAAGACGAAGTTGTGTTTTGTAGGCCTGCACTCTTACTATAATAATTTAGGTGCACATTCAATATGCTACACAATCCTTCTGAATACTTCTTGACTCATGCTGACTCTATCTAGTTTAGGTCAATGTGGTAGGAATTTCAACGCTTTATATTAACATACCTGATCAAGATGCTTGTGTAATTTATTCTCTGGATTTCGCTCTATTCATGTAGTAGAGTCAATCGACCACGCTAATGACATATCAAGTCTTACAATAAAGTAGCAGAGAGCATGGATTTGAATGAAGGTCATTTGAGCAAAAGTCTGCCCTTCTAATAACGCTGCTATATGGAAGTCATCCCTGAATAAGTTATACAACATTGCTCACCGATCAAGCTAACAGCACCTACGACGTACACAGACGAAGTCAATTATATATGATTACCCAGGAGTCCAGTCATTGCAGCGTTTCATCGGAGCTGGCTATTAATACAATCCAACGATGATCACTATTCACTACGTGCCATGATTAACATATTTTTGATGCATGCAATATTATAGTACCATACACACATTATATATATAACAATGCTGGATACCTTTCAAGACAGCCTTGTACACTATATAATATACATCCCCTCCGCAATTTCCTTTAATTCCTATATAATATTCATCACCATTTATCCAGTCTAAAGCTGCACCTTTATGACGATTAGGTGAAATGCCGGACACACTTGTCTTTGTAATGTGCGTGACAGTGGCTTCCCCTTTTTTGTCTATATTTATACTTTTATCAGACGAGTTTATATTTGTAAAATTTATGTAATTGTGGTTTATCAAATGCACAAAGACATGCGAGTTCATGTGGGAATATAACATAGCACGGAATAAACAGAACACGATGATCATGCAAGGCCAGAGCGCTGTCTCTTCGAAGTAGGGGAAGCATAGGACTATGCAAAAGGTTAAGTACCAGGTATGCTGGAGTGGGGTGGAAGAGGAAGAGGTAATCTCTCTAGCCGAGACAGCT